AAGCCGCGGCATATGACGAATGCCAGACTAAACCCCGCCTAGACCCACCCGTCCAGTTCCTCTCCCCCTCCTGCTTATCCACTTTTGTACCCCGCTGCCACTCCGCGTGAACCGCCTTTGCCTATGTCACTGTTTCGTCTACTTCCAAGATTTTCTTTTCACCTACCGCGTCACGGTGCCGGAGCGGAACATGGGAATCGTAATGGCGGGTAGATGGACGCGTGGTCACAAGATCGTCCATCGTCATACATCGGTCAATGCGAGATCATTCATGCCGTGCGAGCATCGAGATCGCGGCTGTTGGCAAGTTTCTGGCTACCATGATCGGAGCTGGCCGATGAGTCGCTTGTGTGGTACAGTACATTCACGGTGAGGGGTGTGGAGGGGTCGAAAAGTTTGAGCCAGAGACATGCCACGTCTATACCGCTCCCTCTGGCGTTCTGTTCTCGTTACATTGACGAATGAGCGATCTGGCTATATGCATCGTGGGTGTGGTCAGCTGCGCCTTTTGGTTTGCTGGTGGGTGGCTTCGGGCTGCGAAATGGAGGATTAAGCGCTGTACCCTCTGCGTGATTGGGGTTCTTTTGAGAAATGCCGGAGAAATGCGCGCTGGGAGGCAGACTCGGATAGGCGTGTGCATACGCGCATTATTTCTTCAGCGGCACTTGCACTGAGAAACACTAGCCGCCAGTCTATGGGCAGATGACAAGCAGGTATGATGTAACCCCAAAGTCGCAGACGTGAGTTCCAAGGACGACTGTCAACCTGGCGGGTACACCGCGAAGTACCCCCACGGCCAACGTAGCAACACCAAAACAATCTCGATCCGAAGCGCAACCTCCCGCCAGACCAGGACAGCGATATCCCTTCCAACTCCCACGTGCCCTCGCCAGCGTCACCAATCCCTCACTGCGCATAAGCGCCCGCAACACCACCCCTCCATGCATCCACTACCCCTCCAACACCCATTCCATTCCCATCACCCTGCCGCAAGGCACTGTCAAAATAGTCCTTTGTCCATACCAAACAACCCCTCCATTGTACAGGCTTACTATGCGTCACAGATCGTCCCTTATCAGGTACTATCTTTGCTATTCCTGTGCCGTGAACTGCATGCACTGCGCATGCGAACACCCTTCTAGCGCGCCGATTGTTTGTTTCTATTTCAGTCGTCACATGCGAGCGGGGTAAAGGACGAGGCTGCATTCCCGGCTTATGTGATGAATGTATTGTATTGAACTAACCGGATGGAGATTGATAGCGATGCAAGGGGGAGAGGTGTGGTTACACGACAGGGCAAGGGATTCGTAGGGTTGGTGATGTGCTTTTGAAGGTGGTCTTCGGAGTTTCTGAGTATTTTGAAATGTAAGGTGTGTGTTTGATGGCCAGTGTGGCAAGTAATGCTCATGATTGAGGTATAGTCATTGCTGTTATGACACTCATATCTTACCAGGTAATGGGTATCAATATGTGCATAAAGAAAAGCTGGTCTCGAAATGTGGTCATAACGCGGTTGTCGTGCGGCGTATGAGGCGTAGTTGAGTTTGTTATCAGGTGTCGTGTGCTTGGAGTGAGGAGGATTCACTACCAGTTCACTGCGATGATATCATATGTAACACAGTAACCCAGAGTGTGAATATCGTGTTATCTCGAGAGTTTCTCGCTTGCTCAAACTCGTTGTCGTGTCCTTGTCGGAAGTCGATATGTCAGGAGCCGTACATTCAATTGCAAAGGAAGGAGACGGGAGTGACGATAGCAAAGGCGACTTTCGTATCGATGAAGCTGTACTTCGGGGTAGGCAGACTACCAAACATTAACTAGTTCTTACTGATATGTTCCATAGCTCTACCTGAAGGTAGCAAAGTCCTCTCATCTAACCGCCATGGCTTCTCCGACTGGACCGTCACTGCCTGCCTGATCGTCCTCCTCCCAGACGGCGTCGAGAAGAAATACTTCCTCAAGATCGCCACCGATGAAGCCGGTCGGGTAATGATGGAAGGCGAGTACAACTCCATGACCTCAATCTACGACATTTCGCCAGACTTCGTCCCCAAACCCCATACCTGGGGCAAATTCAAACTCGAAGCGCCAGAGACGTACTTCTTCCTATGCGACTTCATCGACATGACGAATACCCTGCCAGAACCTACCCTCTTCTGCGCCAAACTCGCGCAATTGCATAAATCCAGTCAATCGCCAACAGGAATGTTCGGTTTCCCCATCCCAACCTGCCACGGCCGCTTCGCACAGGAAATATCCTGGGACCCAAGCTGGCCCAATTTCTTCACGAATCTCCTCCGCACCGCTCTCTCGATCGAGAAAAAAGAGAACGACCCATGGCCCGAGCACGAAGCAATCTCCGCCCGCGTCCTAAGCCATGTAATCCCCCGTCTCCTCGGTGCGCTCGAAGAAAACGGCCGCCAGATCAAGCCATCACTAATTCATGGAGATCTATGGGAAGGCAACGTCGCTACAGATGTCTCGAACGGCAATATCTACATTTTCGACGCTGGTGCGTATTATGCGCATCATGAAATGGACCTTGGTATGTGGCGTTACGAAAGATATGAGTTCGCGAAGAAGGCAGAGTACAAGGAAGAGTATCTTCGGATTATGGGCGTGGATGAACCGGTGGAAGAGTTTGACGATCGCAATCGGTTGTATTGTGTTAAGATGAATGTTGTTCGTTCGGCGCATCATCCGGGGTGTGAGGAGAGGGAGATGTAAGTTTGACTTAGGAATGCTGAGTAAGAGGTTTACTGACGGCGATGTAGGGCGTATAGGGATATGTGCTATCTTGTCGATAAGTATGCACCATATGCAGCGGGAGAAGAGCCTTCAAGGACCCAGGTGCAAGACGAATTGGCCGAAACGGTATGTCAAGGACGAGAAGGCTTGGCCAGGTCAACTGGTGTCTGGAGAAACCAATCTGGGAGTATATTATCGGTGTAGAGCAGCGCCGAATCGATATTTACATCATGCTGTCTGCATAATTTCAACACCTCAATGGTTGAATTCGACGTTCCCGTCTCCAATTCTTTCCAGAATGCTGTATTAGAAACGCCATAGGTACTGAAAATAGAGTGAGCCCTGCTAAGAAGGTGAACGTCCATCCTGTTCCCAACTTCGAGATGATGGCGTCCAAAGCTGCCAGAGCTGCGGCCGCGAGAATGCAACGGAACAGATTGGCAGCCGCACTAGCTGTTGCAGGGCGCACCGGGTTGACATCCACAAGTAAAGTACCGCAAGCCTGAATTATTAGAAGACTCTTCTGATACGCTTGATGACATACGTACGTTGAACACTCCCGTGATGGAGGCGCCGATGAAGAATTGCAGAACCAGAGGCACCGCAAAGTGCTAGAGAGGTTTTAGTACTATCAGATTTGAGCGACGTGTTTGATGACAATCTTACCGTACGTTTATCCAAAGCCCATCCGTACCCGATAGTCGTCACCGCAGCAACGCTCATGTAAAAGTACGTAGCCCGCAAGCGAGCCTTCTCGATAGGAAAGTCAACAAGATCATCGCCGCGCGTTCGATCGATCGAGAAGCCCGAACTAGAAGCCACTCTACGATACTCCCAGTTCATTATATAACCTAGTCCTTATAAGCCAACAGTCTCTATGCATGTGCCACATAACTCATACCGCACGTGTAAGAAGCTAAGGCGCAGCCGACTCCGAACGGAATGTATATTAAACTAGCATACAATTTCTCGAAGCCGTAAATTGTTATGAAGAGAGTTGACAGCAATGCTTAAACACAGCAGTAAGTTATGTAGAGGGCTCTCGACCTAGACCCTCTAGTCTAAGTTAGAACAACCTACCTGCGTACGCCTGCTTAACGTAGCTCTTAAGCCTGCTAAAGCTACGCAGCGCCTTAGGCGCCTACTACCTTAGGTAGCTACTTAGCTAGTACCTTTATAATATATTTATACTTATACTTATACTTACTTACTATACGCCTACTATACGTTTACTTTACGCACTACTTTACGTACTACGTAATTACTCTATACTATACGTATTATATTATATTATATATATATATACTAATATACTAAATATAGCTTTATATTTAGCTACTCTTATAGAAATACTATTACTAGTAATATTATAATACTATTACTATTACTACCTACTACTTTACTATATATATATAAATACTTATACTAATATAATACTTAACTAATATATTATACTACGCATTTTATAAGTACTTATAAGATACGTAAGTATAGCTCTAACTTATTTTATACTCTTATTACTACTACTTAATTTTTATAGACTTTTTTTATTTTCTTCTTATTCTTCTTAGACTTCTTATTTCTTTTATTCTTCTTAATTAGTACTTAGTTTCTTAGGTTTTTTAGCTTCTTAAGCTACTTATTAATAAATATATTAGTACTTTTTATATATATACTATTAGCTATAAACTATTTTATATATATATACGTATACGTATACGTATATATATATATATATACTTTATACGCTAAGGTCTTTAATAAACTTACTAAATAACTTAATAACGTTTTTATTTAATATTTTACGTAACTACCTCTTATAGTTTATACCTACGTTTTTTTACCTTTTAATAGTCTTAGCGTTTAGATTTATAAAATCTACTACTTATATAGGCTAGTATCTCTCTATATATAATTAGTAACTATATATATATACATACGTATATACTTATAATACTTACTAGCTTTCTTAAGTAGTTTTATAGAAATCTTTTATATACTTTAGCTTTATATATTTTTTACTTTATTAGAATATATTTAATAATACTTTTCTTAGACTAAATAAAGTTTTTTTAAAGTATACTTTTTGCTACTATACTTTTACAACTATACTTTTAATTAGCTTTTTTTCTCTTAGCTCTTTAGCTACTATAGTTAAATATATAACTTAAATTAATTTAAATCTTTACTACGTTTTAGCTATATAACTTATAATTGCTATACTTACGCTTTTTATTCTGTTTGCAGCTGCTTTAATCGCGCTTACTACCTCTTCTTAAAGTTATGTAGAACAGTCTGTTGATTAGCATGATTAGTGCGTTCTCTTTCTGCCAGAGTGCTTTGAAGCAGGGCTTGAGACTGGGCATTCGCATCGGCTGACCATCGATCTCACTCTCGGAGCTCGTTACTGACGACTTCTTTGAGTTGAGCTTTACTTGCGTCAAGTATGACTTGTTCAAAAGGCGTGTGGGCATGATCGAACCGTTTCCAACGATCTTGCGAGCGGTTTCTGGGAGCGTAATGGCGAGTATGAAGAAGTTAACGCTGGATAGTATCGCAAGCGTCCAGAAGATCCAAGGCCATCCGGCGTATTGGACGAGTATGCCACCCAAAACGGGACCGAGGCTGGGCGCTACATTCGGACTAGGTCATCGTAGTTAGGAAGACCGTCGCGTTCGTAATGTGGTTGTAGCATACCCCAGTAGAACTGCCCCAATATACCCACCTCGCTCAGCAGGTGTAGCAATATCACTAACAACAGCGTAGCCGAATGAAATCGTGCCTAAAGATCCTTCACATCAGCAAGCGCCTTGACATGAAGGAATTCCCATAAACCCACCACTACTCCCCGCACTCTGCACCATCCTCAACACAAGCAATGCGGGATAACTCCTCTGAACCGCCAACCCCACATTAGCAACCGTATACGTAAGAATAGCAAACAGAAACAGCGGTCGGCGGCCCATGGTATCCGCCATATCACCCAACAGGGAAGGCGCTATCCCGGATACAAGCATGTAGGTTGTGATCGACAGATTGGCCATGGTGAGTGTGATGTTGAGATCCTCGGCGATGTTGAATAGTGCGGGATAGTAGATGAAGCTGCTGAGAGGGGAGAAGAGTCCCGCGTATGCGACGAGGAAGACTATCCATTGTTTTTCGCTACGGGTAAAGAGGGAGTATGGTGGTGGGTCGGATGGTCGGTCATGTTCGGGAGGGGGAGCGACGTCTGTAGCTTTTTCGTTCATACTGGGCGGTTTCGGCATAGCAGTCGTAGCGATTATGGTGGTAGATGACCAGAACTGCAGTCGAAGAGGGTCGAGTGCTGGTCCTTGCCGAAAGGACGTACCGATTGGTGGCTATGCGCCGCAGTTGGTCGGTTGCCATCCTTCTGAATGACAAGCGAGTATGTCATGTGACGAGATATATCTAGGTACATTGGCTATATCCGGGACTGTTCCTACGCAAACGAAATGCTGGGTGTTTGTGGCCGCACTCCCCTTGTCACATATCTTAGCCGCATCGGCGCCACTGAGTAGTCTTTGCAGACGACCTCGAATTACCGCCCAAGGAACTTCGTTGCTGAAATGTATACCTGATGAAATTCGCTATAGCTACGTATAGCCAGCCGCTACTAAGCGTGACTTTTCATACTATCATGTATCGATCGTGATCCTTCATCCAACTCAGCTATCTATTAGCCCCGACAGTATGGTATCTCATGTCGAACACGCACAGTAACGAGAAAACTGATCCATCCTCCGGACAACTCCCACATGAATCCACCCCCTACGCAGCACTATCCCTCAACCTCTGCTGTTCTTCCTCCGTAAGCTGTCCAAACTCCTCCGCAAAACCCTGAGTAGTCGCCGCGCGCTTGAAGAAATCCACCAGGAAACCCTGCGTCTCATCGTCGCGCTGACGGCCACCACCCGGCTCTTCCGCAGCAAAAGCCATGAGCTGCTCTTTGCTGAAGCCACTGCCAAGGTCCATGAAAGGGTTCGCCTCGTCCTCCCATTCACCGTCATCGGACTCTTCTTCGGCGAGCTCAGCAGCTGCTTGTGCGTCGAGAGGTGCGCCAGAGGCGGATTGGAGTTCGACGACGAGGACTTTGAGGATCTTGAGGGGTGCGGGTACTATGGTATACTTGTCAGGATCTGAATTCGTGTGTCAGTTTGTGGATGGGCGTAAGAGGAGTTTATCGCACTGGTTCGCGACAACGACACTATGGCCTACAAATTTGCTCCACAACATGACAATCACTGCGTTCAGTGGCAAAGACAGGGAGGTAGACGTGGAAAGAGAGGACTTACTAGCTTTCGCGCGACTCCTGGTCATGATGCGGCCATCGGTATTCGGTATCAGATCACCCTGCACTTGGACCTGCACAAGACGAGGGTCCTTCAAATCATACAGCTTCGAAAGAGCGATGACACTACAAATCAAGTCAGCAATTATGCACAGTCATCGAGTAAACAAAAAAGGAGGAAGGGGGAGTTCAACTTATTCCGAACGATCTCAAGCCTTCCAACAGGCTTTCTCCGTTCGTAAGAGAACTGCTCGATTTCCGGGGAGGTTCGTACGTACTTTTGTCGGATCTCGTCGTAGCCGGCGAAGTTGATCGAGTTTTCGAGCCACTTGGCTAGCACAACCTGGAGGCCGTTTTGGCCCTCGATGTCCTGGCCAGCCAGGAAGTCTACCACCTCCGAGGCATGGTTCAAGCTTAGACGCGCGAATACGAGCGTCAGACTTTGGATGAACTGTGCTTGTGTTGCTTGGCCTAGGCGGACAGCGACACTTCGTAGGAGTTGCTCTAGGTAAGGTCCAAGTCGTTCGTGGCCGGCCTTCTCTACTACCTCTGCGGCAAGCGCACCGACTTCGCCAGCAGCATGGTCGCTGCATGAAGACAACAGACGTGAGACGATGATGAGAGTTACCTCAAGACCTGCTTTTCCGGTGTCATCCCGCCATTCGAAGAGCTGTTGATGGTCGTGCGAGATGATGTTCTTTACGGCAGTCGTAGCGGACTTCAGCAGCTCCTCATCGGCAGAGCCTAGCAGGACTCTTGTGAGCTTTGGCATGGTTGTAGCGACAAAGCCAGCAGGGAGCGGCTCTGGTCCATGCTCAGCCATGACAGCCAGAAGATCAGCAGCAAAGTTGCATAAAGCATTCTCCTCCGTTAAGCTTCCAACATCAAAGGCGCCCATAAGTGATGGAAGCACCCTTGCGCACAATTGAACGTACGCATCACCGCCCATTCGCGCAATAGTCTCCGTCACCTCTTCAAAGGCCTCGGTGACTAGCATGGTGAGTTGGAAGTTGTTAGCTTGATGACTAGCAATTCGGAAGAGTGTGTCGAGACCATTGTCTGTGATGCATATCCGCGTATCAATAAGTATGGCGTCTCGGAGTGTTTCGACCAGAGTGACCATAAGATCTTCACTGTCGCTGAGCTCTGACATGTCTTGTGCAGCCAGGTAATTGCTGATGGCCATGATGATAGGTGCTTGCATGGGCTGTGTGGTCGCAGGTGGAAGCGCTTGAAGATAGTGTTGCAGAGCGCGAATACATGACACTTGGACAACGTCGGACTCGTCAGATGGAATGGCCTGTAGAGATGCCTCGAGGAAGGATGTGCCGAGCTGTTGTAGAGCATCTCCAGCTGTCCTTGTCAAACTTCCAGCGACAAGGTAACCGCGTGCTCTCAGGAAAGCGTCGGGCTGCTGCATGGCATACCGGATGAAGTCCACATAGCCGCTTGCAGCATCTGGGCTGATTTGCTTGTCCACGTCCTGGAAATCGCTCAACAGTTGGTTCAGCACGTAAAGCGCCGCTTCTTTAGCTTTCCAGCTCTCAGACTCGGAGTAGAGCGCTCTCGTGTAGGTCAACAAGCCGTTGACAGTAGGCTCTTGCAGCCACTCGCCAAGCTTGATGACGAGGTCACCACAGGCTGTGCGGGGCGTGTAGTTCGCGGTTACGCTTGTCTCCTCGCTCAAGAAAATGTTCACATCCACATCCCACAGGCCCTCTTCTTCTGTGGTGATTTGCGCGTAGGCCACGGCCAGCTTCATAACCTGGGTGACCCATGAGTTGTCGGGTGTCTGGTTTTGGAGTTCCTGTTCGAGTTGCGCGCGGACCGGGGGTGCACGAAGACACGCCTGCATAAAGTCCAGCTCCTCCAGGATCAGGAAGTCTAGCGTGTACGGCAGGCCGTCGGCATCCTCTAGCCTGCTTTGACGATCCTCTTTTATGTACATGAGAGAGTATGCGGGTTCCAGCAGGGATAGCTCCTGCCAGGTTGCCTGGAACAGGACGATGCTTTGCGGCGAGAGGATAGCGGGGAAAACGGACCGTATGCGCATAAGGACCTGCGAGCTGTTAGTATCGGGAACACCTCGAATGAAGAAATTGAACAGGCTTGGAGACTACATCAAGATGAAAACATGCAAAGTGAGTGACCCAACGTCGATGTAGCCTCCAGGGTGTTCAGATCTTGACACGACCTACCTTGACTGACTGTAGCTTGAGCGCGATCTGTCCCTTGTAGAGCAGGGCATTGGGCGCATCCGAGTCCTCCTCGTCGATTGACGGCGGATCGGGTAGCCTGTTGTTGAGGACATTGACGAAGAAGGGAATCCACTCCTTGAGTATCTCATCCGCGAAGCTCTTCACCATAGTCTTGTGGTCCTCCAGCACCATCTCGAGAATGTCGAAGCAGCCATGGAAGACTTTCACAGCCAAGGCCCTCAGCGTCGGCTTTGTTTGCTCGCTGGTGGCCACATTGAACAGGACCTTGATCATCTGGGGCGCGACCTGGAAGAAGGTCGTCTCGTTGAAGCAGTCCTCCACCAGCTCGCCGAGGACCCTGAGAGCGCCATGTAGCTGGCCTTCGTTCGCATTCGGTATCAGTGCGAGGAGGTTGTCGAGGAGATCTGGCCATTCGATGGGATAGTCGGCGCTTGCGATCTTGCTCACGACGAGGCCAGCGGCGGCCTTGAGCTTGCGGTCGAGCCCGTCCTGGGTAGCGAGGTTGAGCAGCTGCTGCCGTAATACAGCCTTGTTCTCTTCCGAGACGAGCGCCTGCCCTTTCCACTCGTCGAGGCTGGAACTCCATCCCGCCAGCACAATGTTCTTCAGGTACAGGACGGCGGCCTGGCGGATGTTGAGCGGCACGCTGTCATGGCAGGCGATGCCAATGAGGCCGAGGGGGAGCTCCTGGTGGCCGTAGAGGGAGAGCAGCTGCTGCTCAGCGTGTTTGCGCGTGTCCTCCTGGGCGGTTTGGGTTGCTGATAGCAGCTGGACTAGTTGGTCCTCCATGGTCAACGTGGGGCATGCGCGTATAGAGCTAGTCGGCACGTCTAGCGCTCCCCAAAACGGCTGGCGAGGTAGAAGGATCGGGCGTTGACGCGTTTGTTGATGGGTGCTGCTGGGTGATTGAGCGCGAGGAAAAAGAACGCGCTCGGAGATGCGGGGCAGCTCCGTGAATCTCTGGGTGGTGGGGTGGCTAAGCGGAGGCTATAAGTGAAGCAATAAGCCGCGACGACTGCATATGGGTAGCAGATGGGTACAGAGGGCAGATTCTAATACAGAAGTAAGGTGGAGTATGGCAGCTGGGCTATAATGAAGGGGAGGTGGCCAATTGCCCGACAGGCGGTGACGACGATGCCTCTTCCCAGTTCCCGGTCGGTGGAAACGCGACTATTACCTACACCTTCGCCTCCCCCCGACCCTCCCCTTGCTGACACGTTGTTATCCTCAACAATGCCAGGGGCACTCGACACAGCATACGCACCACGTCTGCCATACCGATCAGCAACCCTACCAGAGCCGTGACCGTTATCCATCGACACGCTAGCGGCTTTCACGCGACGAGACGCGTCTGCGTCATGACTACAATCCGCTACTCAAAGTGCACAACACTATCTCGTACCTGAGGCGCATACATACCCCTTCTGCGAATAGAACGATTACACCCCTACTACCACACGTCACACACCCACCGCAACGATGCCAGTAACCTACCTCGAAACCCTCAACCACTTCACCACCTTCCTAACCGCCTACACGCACACGCTCCTCCACCACCGCGAAATCTACCCCACCACCTCCTTCGCCCGCTCCCGCTTCCACAACGCCATCGTCTACCAATCGCGGCACCCCCTGGTCTGCGAATGGATCACCGACGCCATAACCGCCGTGCGCGAAGAGCTCCTCAAGGGCGTCGTCTCCAGAATCGGCATCGTCATAT